AATTTTTCTGAAGAAGGGTCTAGGCCCGAAACGTCAGCCTTTCTGCTCCTATGATGCTGCTTGGCCTGCTGTGTTCATCCAGCCCTGCACCTTGTTGTCTTGAATATTTTGGGGTGTGGGTGAATGTTAGATTAGGTGTACTCTATTTGATAGTCCAAACAGAAAAATAATTTTCAATACTTAAATGCAAAGTAAACTTAAAAAAAAAACAGAACGACAAAACATTTGGAAGTGTGGGGCAAGAACAGGATTCAAAATATGCAAGGAGTTGGAAGAACTCACCCTCCAAAGTGTCCTAGAGCTGTACAGCACAGAAACAGACCCTTTGGTCCAACTTGGCCATGACGACCAGATATCCTAAATTAATCTAGCCACATTTGACAGCATTTGGTCCATATCCCTCTAAACCTTTCCTATTCATGTACCCATCCAAATGCCTTTTACAAGTTGTAATTGTACCAGCCTCCACCACCTCCTCTGGTAGTTCATTCCATACACACACCACTCTCTGCTGTAAAATGCCTGGAAAATCAAGTCATGGGGTGCAACCAATGAAAGAAAAGCTCCCACAACATGCATGGGAGAATGCATCTGTGAGGAGCTACTCCTCCAGATAATAGGTTCTTGTCTCTCTGTGCTCAATGTTTCAGCTCTCCAATCAGAGTTTCCTTCTCTTCTGAAGAGAACCCTAGAAATAGAAATAAAGGAGGGAATGACACCATATCAATAATAATGCAATCAGGGAGAACGGGAAAGAATAGAGACCCTGAATACCAAATAGTAGTCAAATAGGAAATCTCAATAAGAGCTCTTGAAAAAGATGTATTTATATCATTGTGTAAGGCAATGACTTTGGCATTTTTGGCACTGCAAAATAAACATGACTGTTCAGGTTGTTCATTCATTGATTTTTGCACTAAATGCGAGTCTCAGACATTCCTGAATGACTTCATTACAACCTGGTCCAAATAGGGGCAAAAGAGCTGAACATCAGAGAAAAAGTGAGAGTGACTGTCCTTGACAGGCAGGTAGTATTTAACCAAATGTGGCATCAAGGAGCCCTATCAAAATTGAAGTCATAGGGAACCAAGGGGAAAAGTCTCCGCTGATTGGAGTCATACCTGGCACAAAGGAAGATATCTGTGGTTGTTAGAGGTCAATCACTTCAGATCCATGACATATCTGCAGTAGTTCCTCAGACTAAGTGCTCTCGGCTCAACTACCTTCAGTTACTTTACCTCCATCATAAGACCAGACGTGGGAATGTTCGTTGATGATTACACAATCTTCAGCACTATTTACCACTCCTCAGATACTGAAGCAATCTGTATGCAAATGCAGCAAGACTTGGACAACACTCAGGCTTGGGATGATAAATGGCAATTAACATCATCGCCACACAAGTGCCAGGCAATGACCATCTCCAATAAGAGCGAATCTAACCACCATTCCTTGACATTCAACACACTACCATCACTGAATCTCCCAGTGTTAACATCCTGGGATGTTACCATTGATTCTGAAACTGAACCTAATCAGCCAAATAAATATTGTAGCAACAATGATCATGGGTTAGGAATCTTGTGAGTAACTCACCTCCTGATTCCTCAAAACTTGTCTACCACTTACAAGGCACAAATCGGGAGTGTGATGAAATACTCTCTACTTGCTTGCAGCTCCAACAACACTCAAGAAGCTCAGCATCATCCATGACAAAGCAGCCACTTGAGTGGCACCCTAACCACCATCTTCAAAATTCACTCCCTCAAACACCACCTTCTCAAAGGGAAATAGGGATGGGCAATAAATGCTGGCCCCGTGACTCATGAGTGAATAAAAAACACAAATGCACAGGGGTGGCTGTGTGTGCCATCCAAAAGATGCACTACAATCTGCAGCAACCCACCAATGCTTCTAAGATAGCATCTTTTAAACTTGCAACACCTAACTAGAAGGACAAAAACAATGGATACATGGGGACACTACCACCTGAAATTACCTCTTCAAGCCGCACACTAACCTACTTGAAACTATACAGCTGTTCCTTTACTGTTGGTTGGTCAAAATCTTTGAACTCTCTCCCCAACAGCACTGTAGGTTTTTCTACCCATGGTCTGCAATGGTTCAAGAAGGCAGGTCATCACCACCACCTGCTAAAGAGCACTTACGGATGGGCAATAAATGCCGACCGAGCCAGCAATGCCCACGCCCATAAATGAACAAGTAAAACTGTGCATTAGAACTATGTTTCCAATTCCCTCACCAACTAGTCTGAACCTTTGGGGAAGACTCAAATGTGTCACAAACCATGAGCCGTGTTGTGGTGTGTTACCTGGCCTCTTCGCCACAACTCAGTTAGCATTACAGCCAGCATGGTTAGTCTTAGATGACTAAAACTGAGGTTTGAGCATATAGGTGGTACCTTATTTCCCAACCAAGTATCCTGTATATTCAACATGTGATCTGCTGCTCAAGTGAAAGGACCAAACTTCTCTAAACATAAAAAGGGGTGGAAACATCGGTCTATACTTAACTACAGACATGGATAGCAATGCAGTCCCCAGTATTCCCCGTTTTTTCTGTTTTCGTTTCACGTGATCTTAACTGGGATCACTGCACCTCCCAACGCATCGTTCAGACTTGCACCAAAAAACAAAACGCCATTGAGAAAGGTACCAAAGAGTTTCCAGAACGAACCCACACTCAAATCAGTAATCAATTCTTTTAAAGGTATTTAAGGGTTGGGGGGGTGGTGGGGGGGGAGTGGGGACAGAAGGAGGGCGGAGAGAGAGATGGTACTAAAGGGAGGAAACAAAAACACAAATCTGAGGACTCTGCAAAACAACACAAGTGGTGCAGTCCCTCTGGAGCTCCCATTCTGATCACAGCCATATTCAGACTCATACCATCAAGTGAAAATAGAGCTCACTCTAAGCTTCCTGAAAAATCTGTTAATCAATAAAAGCCTCACCTCCCTTTCCTTGCAAATTCGATAGATTTAATAGCAGTGGTGTTACTAGTGCCTGTTGTGACTCTGAATGAAGCTACCAGGTCTTGTGAATCAGTCTTTAGAACCAAGATCTGAAAATGCAAAGCACATTTTAGCATTATCAACAAAAACAAGAAAAACAAGAATTGAGTAATGTCACAAGGGTCAACATGTGCCCTAAATGGTGGTATCTCAGCTCTCCCTGCCACTGTCTCAGACATCAAAATGACTAGTGATACAGAAAAATTAAAGGTATGTCAGTTAATCACAAAAACAAAAACAGAAAATTCTATTCATATGAAAACATCTAAACCCAACACCAGCATTTTTCTCTTCAAGAGGTATAGATACCATGAACATTATCATCCTCTATAATGATGCAGCAACTTTATGGATCAGAAGCTGAGGGCAATAAGTGTCCTGGGTTTGATCTTCGCACAATGCTGATTTAGCTAAAGTCACCACTAAGGGGCATTACAGCTAGACTCAGGGAAATAAATTTAACAAAAATTAGCCAGGATTTCCAATCCTGACCATCAGTGGTGCTTTCTTGGAAATGCAGAATGTTCTGTGTCTTTCTTTCTCTCTCTCGTTCTCCTTCCAGTATTGGTTGACATGCAGTCATTGTTCATCCTTTGACCTCACCGAAGCAGGATGCTGCTGGGGCAAGTCAATGGAGGACTTTTAGCATCAGGGGATCTGTACCCCAGTCACCAGAGGGAGGGTAAAAGCTTGGCAGTAGGAGATTTCTCATTCTTTAATTGTATGAAGAGTAACGTACATCTAAAGATACAGCCAGTTGTGACAAAGTATTGGATCTTTTGGACATTAGTTCCAATGTGTTTTACCAGGTGAGATTGTAGAGAAATAGATTGTAAATAAATAAATCAATTTTCTTACTTAAATAAGACAAGATTATTATTTATAGTTATGTGCAAGTATATTCAGAATTGACACATCTGATCTACTCGTGACAAAACAGGAAGGTCGGAGCAAAAAAAGAGTTTTCCCATAATGCTCACCTTTCCCTTGGCATTCCCTGTGTAAATATATTCCCCTCGTCGATCAAAAGATGCCACGACATTAAGATCTGAATCATCATCTACAGGTAGAACCACGTGCTTAGAGTCAGAGAGAGTTAATAACACTGGAGCACATTTCATTGGGCAGACAAGGACCCTGTTCCTGTTAACACAATCAAGTACAAATCTGTTACAAATACACACCTAAGGGCTAGTCCTTCATTATTAAACTGAACTAACCAATGATTAGAACCGAGAAGCCAAGGAGGAGGTATCCCCCACACAGCTTTACTAAACGCAATACATACACATACACTATCAATATCTGTAACAGATTATTATAGAGAAATAGCACTCCAAATGACCAGTTAACAACTTCAGATCATAACTACCACTCCCACTTTCAGGAACAGGTGCTAACAATGATTCTGCTATCATTCACACCTCCTCTTAGGGTCCTCTTGTGATGTAGTGGTAGTGTCCCTACCTCTGAGTACAGAGTTTCACGTCAGCTCTGATGAAAAGTCATCTAGACTCGAAATGTTAGCGTACAGTCTCTCCATGGATGCTGCCTGACCCGCTCTGATCTCCAGCATTTTTGTTTTCGGAGCAAGGAGACCTGGGTTCAAATCGCACCTGCTCCACGGGTGCTGATTACAAAATATCATACCACAGCTGGACCATCTTTTGTTTCTTGTCCATTGCATACACATTTCACCTTTGTCACTTCAGCTTACACTCTTCACCTTATCACAGACTTTTCTACCACTGTGTTTGGCAAGAAATCATTGAATCTTTAACATCTTATTGTTCTGATCAAAAATCATTCAAATGATACCTCAATGGTTCCTCTTCACTGATGCTGCCAGACCTGATGAGTGTTTCTAGCATTCTCTACATTTACTTCAGACTTCAACTTTTTTCCATGGGATGAGGGCATTGCAGGCTAGATCATCATTTATTGCCCATTCCCTTAGAGTCCTCTACTTTGCTACGGGTCTGGAGTCACATGTAGGCCAGATCAGGAAAGTGTTACGAAGTTGGGCAGAATATTCATGAATTCGAAGGCAGGAAGTTGGAATGGTTGGTTAAAAAAAAACAATAGCGGGGCAAAAGAGTGCCTGGTCCCTTCAAGAGACTGTGCTTTGTCTGTGCTTGGAAGTTTACAAGTACTGTGCACAGCAAGTGTCCGAATTGAAACATTTTGTATCGAACAGCCAAGCAGCATTTTTGCCAAAGCAACAAGTTTGAATTTGGCTAATAAATTTAAACAAAGCACTCAGAGATTCAAAGCTAATTGAATTTAAAAATTGATGGTGTTGCCGACATCGGACCAATCCTATGTAAGAAATACTATTATATCATTATGGATATAAAGATTTGAAAAATCAAGAGAGAGCCACTGCCAACTGAGGGGACAGCCAAGCTTCATCGGCAGCGAAAGCAAGTACACCATCTGAGATACAAAACTGGCTTTCACATAAAATTACTGAGCTCTCTCAAAAAATCTATCAAAGGTACCACAGCATTTTAGCTCAAAGTCCTCACTGAAGAAATTAAAGAGAAAAGCATCCAAGACAGCAGAATTATCAGAAGAAAGGTGTTTGTGATATGAGATCAACAGGAGAAAGATTGGAGATAAAGCAGGGAAGGCACAGACTGTGCAAACTTGGAGGGATTAAGTTTTAATTTATTGTTTTCTTATTAACTGGGTTTGTACAAGTGTGACTTATGTTTATTTGAACAGCATTCCAGTAGAATTTAGACCAGTTAGGAAGTAGTTAATAGTCTAGGGGGGAATTGTTCGGTTTGTTAGTAATTCTGTTAATTTGTTCATCGTTAGGATTAAACATTTCTCATTATCTGTAAAGTGGAGATCAGGGATTTTCTTTCTTTTAAACACTCTTAACAGATTACAAGGGGAAAGGCGAGCCTCTCTGGGTGTTTTGGGGGTAGTTATTAGAAGGGAACCTCTACTCCCATCATAATAGATTGGGGCTCGTGTTTTGATGTAACTATCAGAGGAGCTCGGCCAATTCCCCCTCCGTAACAAAAGGCAGGCAGATTTCCTTTCCTTAAGGACATTAGAGAACCTTTTCTTTTTAAGCAACGATCAACAGTGGCTATATGGTTGTTATTAAATCGATATTTTGTTTCTTAATTCTAGATTTTCAGAGTATTTGCACTACTTTGCTTTTGACCCGTAGCAATTAGAATTTGGATTGTGACTCCTGGCAGCAAGTTTCCAACACTATCGAAGAAGCTGGACAGAGGTCAAGAATATCTTTGTGAGTGGCAGCAAGTTCAGAACTGCAATAATGGGGCTTCCTGCTTAATGTCATCCACAAAAGGATAGAATCAGGAAGTAAACTTTCCTTTCATTTGTGCAAGGGGACAAAACAAAGAAAATCATTGACTCTTTATAATCTGTGTCCACGGTTAGAATTGGGAATGGCAGACTTTCTGATGCAAATACTAATCATGAGAAGTTAACAAGTGTTAAAATGCCAACAATCTATACAAATAGAGTAACTCAGCCCGAAAAAGGCAGCTGCCTGGCTTTCTAAATGGATATTTCCCAAAACTGCCACCCTATGGATCACTCAGATTCATTATTTCAAATGCAAATTAGGGATACATGCCCTGTACCCACCCAAAACTGAGCTTGAATTGCCCAAACCCTTGTCATATTAGGAAAGAGTACCTTTAACATTCCTAAGCTTTCAAATTTTAGAGAGAAGTGTAAACAGAAAAATTAGAAAGAAGCTTCATTCATCTTACTTTCGCAGCCTCAAGTGGACTAAAGGTTTGGAATTATCTGCATTCCTGGTAACTTCATTGCAAATCTATCCAAACTCTTGGAACACTTACTGATCTCTGGGATGGAACTGCACTTTGAGCACTGGCGAGGGAAATCGGAACCTCTGATCACAATCTCCAGACAGAACATCCCACAGCGACACAATGTTATCAGTTGACGCACTGACTAGTTTATGCCCATCGCGACTCCAACTGTGAAGAGAAATGTGATCATGTTTTAAAAGTGTAATCTCCACAGGATGTGGACATCGCTCAACGCATTTGAGAAAGTGGTGGCAGCTTCTGAAACCTGTGTTCTAGGGTGTTATAAAGGAGGGAATTCCAGGGTTTTGACTCAGCAACGGTGAATGAACAATGACATATTTCCAAGTCAGGATAGTGCAAATGATGTAACATGTTAGAGGTGTCAATACATTGATAATTTTTACATTGTTTAGTTTTTCTTTATACATTTAATGCTTGTCATTGCATCCTCAGCAATTGCAGCCACAACAGGGAACACTGAAACGCTCTTCACAAATCAAAAACAACTATCTACCAGCTAAAAGGAAAAGGTCAATGCTGTTAGTGTATGAATGAAGAGAGTCATATGTAACTCTGCCTAGTAAAAGTTAAAGAAATTGACCCAAAGGGATAGGTGGCATGACTAAAGGCACATGTGCACCAAATCTGCAGTTAAAAACAAAATCAAGTAAAAATGTTGTGAATAATTATGATGATACACCATTAAATATTCCAAGAGCTTGAATCTGTACCAGATGGAACAGAAATTTAAAACACAGGAAGGATAATTGGAACAGTGGTGCTGCACCACCACCTCCTGGGTGGACGAGAGAAGTGCAGTTACTCTTGAAATAATCATAGAATCCCTACAGTGTGGAAACAGGCCCTTCAGCCCAACAAGTCCACACCGAACCTCAGAGCATCCTATCCAGACCCATTCAACCCATAACCCACCCAATCTACACATCCCTGAACACTACGGGCAATTTAACATGGCCAATCGACCTAACCTGCATATCTTTGGATTGTGGGAGGAAATCGGAGCACCCGGAGGAAACCCATGCAGACACAGGGAGAACGTGCAAACTCCACACAGACAGTCGCCTGAGGGTGGAATCAAACCCGGGTCCCTGGCACTGTGAGGCAGCAGTGCTAACCACTGGGCCACCATGACACCCTAATCTGGGAGTATAAATGGCAGCGACTGAAGAACAAAAATCAGATTTGGGAAAAAGAATGGGACGTGGGGGACAGGGTGGGGCTCTTTCAGCACATAGAAAATAAGAGAAAAAATTGAAGTATTTAATATTTACTTCAATCAATTCTAAATTTGTCACATCGAATAAAATAAAGACGGGTGGTGTGTATATAGAACGAACTGCCAGAGGAAGTGGTAGAGGCAGGTACAATTACAACATTTAAAAAACATTTGAACAGGTAAATGGATAGGAAATCTTTAGAGGGATATGGGCCAAACACAGGCAAATGGGACTGGTTCAGTTTAGGAAACCTGGTTGGCACAGACTAGTTGGGCTAATCTGTGTGCTGTACGACTCTATAAAATTCACAATGCATTGCACTACTATGAAACTGGTATTTGAAAAGAGGAGTGTTTGCAATCACAACATTTGGTCACCAAGAAGGGAGGTGATGCTCGTCAGTCAGCATTTGAATCCTTGTTTTTTTTTTAAATTGTCTACATAAAATGACTGATGCAAAAAGCAATTGTAAGCTCCAGCTGTGGGGTACATTTATTTTGGATTGTAGTAGCGCCAGAGAAAGCAGCTCAGGTTTCATAGGATGATTTATATTAGTTGTTGAAGTGGGAAAACAAAGACAAATAAAATCTAAACACTGACAAGTTCAGAGCATGTGCGTTTTGTGGAGAATGAATGAGCAAAGACATAAACTAAAGAATTATGATGAAGTTTGAAAGGGACTGGCAAAAGACCTATGAGTTCCGTTATCAAGACTTCACAAAAGGCGAATTACAGACGTGCACACATGTTGGGTGAGCTGGATTGTGCAGTATGAGTGTGGAGAGCTCAACATGTTGAATAAAGCATTTGTTAAGCTCCATTTTGAATACAACGTGCAATTGTGACATTTCACATTGGGGCAAATGCGTATCAGTAAATGTGCAAAAAACAGAAGCATGTCCTAAATGTAAAAACAGTGATGAGTTACAAACAGGCTATAGAAAGTTCCACTTCAAGTCCTAAGGAAGGAATAAAGATCTCACAGATTATGGAAAGTATCTAATGGTGCAGATAGCAGATCACAGGATAATGCAGCAGGCCATCAGAATGAGAGGAAATTTATTCAAACGAATTAAAAATCAACTTAGAACAGATCTCAAAATAAAATCCTTCATAATTAGGGGACAAGTGTTTGGAATGATTTCCCTGGTTAGGTAGCTGAATTTCAAAGAACCACTGGATGCTTGATTGGTCACAAATATCTGTTCTTGAGAAACAACTCTGTTTGGTGGTGTTATTTCACACCTCTTGAACTGTTGGGACTTAAACCTAGATTTAGCAACACTACCACTGTGCCACAGAGACCTCTATGTTCTTAAGAGTATAATTGATGGGAGACTGCATCAGGAAGTTTGAGAGACAGGTTGAAGACAGGCAATACAAAATTTGTTGGCGACAAAGATTCAGGCGTGGCTCACTTTTGATTAGATCTCTGAAACATGAGCAGCTGAAAGAGAAAAGTTAGACTTGCTTTGCATTTCCTGAATTTTCGGTTTTTCTTCAAGTTTCCAAAATTTCATGTTTCATCTGTCTTTCTACTCACAACAGCAATTTCTGAGGGGGCACACAAATATTACTATCGTCTGCAAAACACTAAACGCGAGGAGGGTACAACGCTCTATCATGAATGGCTAGTTACCAGCTTACTGACCTGGTATTCTTTCATTCCCAAAGTGTTAATACCCACTTCCACCTTATCAGCAACAGTAGAGGTGTACGCTATTCCCTGATGAAGACCGGAGTGGGAAAAGTTGACGTTCACCAACATCGGAAACCAAAAGTTTCCAAGCTTGGCCCTAATTTGTACAAAGTTAAACAGTGTGAACCAAAGGTGCAGGAGCATGAAAACTTAGCTGACAGATCTGTCACTGCAGAAGGAAAAGCGGTCTCTTAACCTTGTTGGAACATGTGTGCTGAGGACAGATGGCCCTCCCCCACATTCAGGGTCTAGCTGTACTTACAGAGAGTGGCTACTCATGAACATAATGGCTAGCATCTGTGCAGCTGCACCTCAACATGGAGTCAACCCATACTTGGAGGTGGAGAGTTTGCAAAATGTGTTTTGGTTTCAAAACATAGAGGCACAAGTACACATGCACAAACACACATACAGATCATCAATTACCATAATGAACAAACTGGATGGATGTGTGCACTGATGATTTTGGCAATACCCCTCGTCAGGAAGTCCCAAATGACAATACGGCCATCGTTACACCCCACAGCGAGCAAGGTACCCCATCTGTTAAAGGTACAGGTGAGGGCCATGCTGATACAGTCCAGAGTTCCATCCGCCTCCTGCAAAAATAAACTAAGTCACATCCAGAGAAGAACAAGATTGCATTATACACAACAATTTGCATTTACATAGCTCCTTTAATATAGTAAATCCATCCCAAGGTAATTCAAAAGAGCACTGACAGTAAGCCATTATAATTATCAGGACTGGTGAATAATAGCTTCACACGTCAGGTTTAAGGAGCATTTTAAAAGGAAGGGACAGAGGTGGAAAGGTATAGCGAGGCAATTTTATAGCTTAGAGCACTTAGTAAGTGCAGCTAGACCCTATCCTTGAACAGGTCATTTGAATGTGGGGGTGGGCCAGCTGTCCTCAGCGTACACATTCCAACAAGGTTGAGAGTCCCACTGTGGTCACATTAAAAGATTTGAAAATTGAGTGACCCCTCAGCGGGAACTAAGAGTGTTTTTGGGGTGTCTGTGAGAGCAGGGTCCTGGTAGAGAAGGAGCACCACTGTTATAAGTTGCTTGGAGCTTTCAGAGGCCAGTGCTGCCTCAAAGCTCAGGACCCTGAAATTTCAGCTCACAGGACCCTAATCCCCATTTTGGGAAACCCTGGTTTAGGGCCTAGGCAACTAAAAATAAAGCCAACAACAGAGGTGCTGGGGAAATTGGGGCTACACACAATCCCAGAATTGGAGGGACGCAGAGTTCTCAATGGGTTAAAGAATAAGCAGATGCTTGACAGTTAGTGAAGGACAAGGAAACAGAGGGATTTAACAAACACAGATCAGAATTATTAAATTGAAACTCTGCCAAATCGGGAGCTAATTTTAGTTAGTGAGCATGGGAAAATGTGCAAACTAGATCTTTGCAAGCCAAGATACAGACAGCAGAAGACAGCTCTGGCTGAGTTCAAAGCTGCAGATACTGTATATTGGAAAGCTAGCCAAGAGAATATTAGAATACTCAACACCAATCATAACAAAATCAATGATGAGAGTTTCAGCAGCAGATGGACTAAGACAGGATCAGGGACAAACAATTTTACAGATGTACAGTTAGGCACAAATGTTTTCAAACCTACCTCTGGGTAGTTCTGTCCAAAGGACTCTGTTTAAAAGAAATAGAAACATCAATTTAGACACTAGGTCTTGAAAACAATGTAATCTTATTGAAATAAAAGAAAGAATTATGGATGCTGAAGATCTGAAATAAGAACAGAAACTGCAGGAGAAAATCAGCACATCTGCCAGTATCTGTGGTGACAGAAAGCAGAGTTAATAACTGACCCTTCTTCAGGACGCTGTACTCGAAATGTTAACCCTGTTTCTCCACAGATGCTGCCAGACCTGCCGAGTTTCTCCAGGAATTTCTGTTTTAGCTTGCAATCTTACTTAACTGTCTCAATATATACGGTAAATATAAATGTTCACGTTCTGATCTTAAAAGGATATTCTTCCACATCACAACACCAACCCAGCAGGTTCCACACGCTCACGGGGCACACGTGGCCATTGGGCTTGCTGTTCTTATACTTGCTCCTTGTGAGCCCCTGGTTTTCACCATGGTCCTGTACAGCATTTTCTAAGTTTTTGTACATTTACCTGTCTGAATGTCGGTATTGAATCTGCTCCCACCATGCTGTCCATATTGGATACTGCAAAGCTCCGCAGTCACCATCCACTGCAAGGCCAACAAAAACACTCTCTTCAAGAATGTGAACAGCCTTCCGGAAAACTACGCCATTGCAGGTGACAGTCCAAGACTGTGAACTCCTGCTTTACAAACTTTAAGCACAGATCCTTGTTCTCATCATCTAATGTCAAAATGTTGATTCACAATGCCATACATTTCTAATTAATGAAAAGGTTCATGGGACTGATGAGGTGGTATTCAGAAAGTTAGTACAAGTATGATGGACTAAATAACCTCCTTGTGCTGTGATTCTATGCATCAGATTTTGGGGGAATTCCTTGATCAAGCAGTAAAGAAATAACACAAATATTTAGGAACCAGCAATTCAGCAGCTGTGGGAGAACCCCAGACCACCTGCACCACTCAAGGCACAGGACCAACAGCACCCGCTATCAGTCTGAGAAATAATTCAATCCTTTCATACATTACTAATTTTTAAAAAAATGTTTATTCACAGCCTCACAGGATGTGACCACTACTAGTGTGATCGGTGTTAATTTCTCATCCCCACTTGCCCTTGAGAAGGTGGTGATGAGACACCTTTTCGAACCAAGGCAGGCCAAGTGGTATAGATACACCCAGAATGTTGCATGAAGGGAGCTCCAGGACTTTGACTCAGCAATAATGATGGAACGACAATACAGATCTAAAATAAGATGGTGTGTAACTCAGAGGAAATCTTGCAGGTGGTGATGCTTCTAAGCTTCTGCTGCCTTTGTTCTTCTGGAATGAGAGAGAATATTGGTTTGACAGTTGCTGTCAGAGAAGCCTCAGTAAGTCGCTTCAGCACATCTTGTCAATCAAACAGAATATGATGCTGGATAATGTAAAGCTTTTCAAATGATATCATGGCTGCATATTCCACATTTCAACATTGCTGCTGCTCCTCGTACCAGGTGGTCTGCTGAAATGGTATATAACACTTGACTATTTTTTGCCATCCCCACTAATCATTGTAACTCATATGCAACTGCAGTGACATCGAACTATATCTACATCAATCCCTCTTTCTGCTGCCTTCCTGATCGCCATAGATTTGCAGTTCTGATCAAAGGCCTGAAATGCTAATATTTTCTTTCTGATTGTCATTTTTTAAGTGTTATTTATGGTCTTGCAATTTCAAACACATATATATAAATCACACACACACACCTGTACTTCAAAGATCTCCAATTCTTCCACATGCATTTACTGATCCCAGTTTCTCAGTCAAACAGAGAATGGAAAGAAAGTAGCATTTTATGAGCTTTTCCTCGTTACAAACTTGAGTTTTCTTACGAAGATATTCTCTCTTCACAACACTACTTCGAGCTATCTCTATCCTTCTTCTAATTTCTGTATCATATCTGCCATCCTCTGTTATCATTAGCCGCAAACAAAAGACCCATCTGTTTGTTCCAGTGGGAATCCATTCTTTTCTGTCTTCACTTTAATTTCTTCTGCAGTATTCATTTTATTTACAATTTTTTTTTTGTGTTCATACTCAATCCTTATTCTAAACTACTAGATTTTACTTGATCTGTGATATTTTCCCAATTCTGCAGGTAGCATTGTGTTGTGAGCGTACACCAAGTTTATATTCTTGCCTGCTATCTGTAGCTCTGGAAGTACATTGGATTCCCTGAATATTTGTTCCACATACAGATTGAATGTTTGCAACAGGGCACAGCGTTGTGATACACCTCCCTTCACTTGAGACATATTGGAGTGCCCTTCCAGCCTGATGCTCGCTATTTGGTCCCAGTTTCGACTCTAAATAAATCTCTCATTTTAGTGGCAATATGTTTATTAACTTTTGGTGATAAAGACAATTGATAGCTTTATCATAGTCTAAATCCAGAATACATTCGACCAATCTCTGCTTTGAATGTGTTATTTTTTTTTCTAGTATGATTTTCAAGATAAGCTGATAAGTGACCTTTTTAAAGTTATAATTCGAAAATGATACATTCCATGTTTTAGCATTCTTAAACTTAAATGACACATATCACTTGGAATGGATCCTGCGTATGCATTTGATCACAAAATTCTGTTAGCACTTCTAATTTGGTTTCTTCAAGGGCTTTTAGATGAGATGTTGTTGGTACTTGCTATGTCTGGAACTTTTCCTGGATTGATCGATTTTAAACCATCTTGATTTTATGTACCCACTTTCAAAAGTTCTCCCTTCATTTCTATCCGTCAAGGATTTCACCTTCTGGTGTATAACTCTCACTTAGTGATTTTTTACATTGCCAATACTTCTTCATATGTCCCATTAGGCCATTTCTGCTCAGCTTGCTGACACATGTTCTTTATTTTCGATTTGATTGGACTAGTGTGCTGCTTTTCTTTCCATTTCTATCACCATGTATCTTATCTGTCATCCACTCGTGTCCACTTTTCCCCTTTCTTTTCCCATCTTGAAATATTTTCTCCGCAGTGCGTTATATGTTCTATTCCGTGGTTTTCCATATGTCCTCTATTTCTTCTTCTGCAAACAATGCTTGCTCAAATTCCTCAATCCTGAAACATTCTTACCCTTTTTTTAAGCACAGTTCACATTTAAAAATGACATGTTGACGGTGGATTGCTTTGGGATATCTAGAGGACATGAATATCACTCCGACCACCCAGCTTACCCCATGCTAACTCCTCACCCTCCCCCTTTTGCCCCCCCACCCTCTCCCCCCTACTACCCCCTGAACACCAGCCTCCCCTTATGCACTCCACTGCTCAAAACAGCACTCCCCTCAACCTTCCCTTCATCCCCGCTCCTCCCAACATCTAGCCTCTTCCCTCCCTACTTACCCCTGCCGTCACTCCATGTTACTCCCTCCACACCTCATCCTTCCCTTTAGCAACTCACTCCCCTTCCTTCAATTAATGCAGGCACTCCTCACTCCACTTACCATTCCCTTCTGTCCAGTTACCCCTCCTCTCCCTCCGGTTCACACCTCGCCCTCCAGTTACCCCTTCCTCTCCCTCCAGTTATCCCCTCCTCTCCCTCCAGTTACCCCTTCCTCTCCCTCCAGCTACTCCCTCCTCTCCCTCCGGCCGGTTCACTCCTCCTCTCCCTCCGGTTCA